AAAACAGGGCTCGTGCCTCGCCAGGCCTCCACCGTCGACGTCTCGGCGCCTGCCATGGCCGATGCCAACGGCAACATTGTGCCCTTCAACGCGGCCGAAGTCGTCGTCGAGCCTCCCGCGGCCCGGTAGATGCGCCGTCTGGGGCGACGAGAATGAGACCCCACGTGCGCGGGAATCGGCAACGACACGAAGTGAGCCAGGTACTACTGGCAGGACCTTATTCAATGAGCGTATTTTTGGAACAGCGGGGAGAACCCTGCGTGAGGGAATAGGTGACGACGTGATAATGTTCTCGTCACCTGGGCAGACGAGTTGGTATCTAAATTGAACGCGGCGATGCGCCGACTGGCCCACCACTCTTGTGCACCGTTGCAGCGTGATGAATCAGACTGTTCGAGTGACTGGCGCTGCTTGGCGTGGTGTTGGGGGCGTGTTGGTCATGGTGAGCATGACGGCTTCGTCGCTGCGAGTTCAAATGAGAGGCGCCTGGCCTTTGGTGTTGGTCTCTGACTGACGGTCTCTGACTTGGCATGCGTAGCCTGACCTGTCGCAAATAACTGACCATCGATGCAACATGGAGACGCCTTACAATGAAAACAAGAAAATGGGCATCTCAATAACCCCCAGATGGAAAGTCAGTCGACGATTTGTGCTGTTCAAGCCGAAGCCCATGAGATGACCATCAACGACGTCAAGCCACATCTCGATTTGCGCCACGTCTTCTCGCCACATGTACGCCACACGCACTCGCCACAAGTGTCACACCAGTGGGTGGACCAATCCATTGGCTGTGGGCTGCACCTGCACCGAAAGACCCTGGATTTCCAGTCGATCTCCCCAAGCTCCCCTCGACCCCTCTTCCCATCCACATCCGCTCCGCATTGGCACGCCTGGCACGCCTGGCACTCCATCAAACCCATCATCGAGACGCGCCTCCCTGCTGACCACCTCACCAGGGCGATTCATCATCGCCGCAGGACGTTCCACAACATACCAGGCATCGAATCGTTGAAGCCCTCGCTGACCTCTCGCAGCATTTCTGCTGGCAACTTCTGACTCAGCCCACACGCCGGCAAATGCCTCAACTGGCGGACAGGAATGACCCGACCGACAGCCAGCAGCTCAGCCCCAGCCTGGCAAGCCTGGGAGCTCGAACGCTAGGGCCCCTCTCAGGAACCCGTCACCCAAATTAGCTCCGTGCCGGGGCGGATTCCCAATGTGCTCCCCCACCCAGTCAGCCCTGTCTTGACGCATGGATCGCTGGAGGCTCCGTTGGCTCCGTGACTTTGGTCACTCGTCGGAGCTCTCTCCCCAATGTCGCCTGCACCTTGATGCTGCCAACAGGCCAAGGCTGCCGCCAACTGCGACGAAGCCTGTGCTCTGACGATCTGGCGACTGAAGGACCCTGGACGAGTCAAGCCAGGCCAGCTTACCAGACCGTCGGTCCCGAACAGAATCCTTCAGGAAGACAGAGAGAGTGGGCTCCTGTCGTCTAGGGGCGCTTGTCTCCTAGCGAGATGAGACGCTCGAAACGCGCAACAGGATCCTTCCGCGGATGAGTCCAAGAACGAAATGCAAGCTCGAAGAAGAACACCGACGACGAGTTCGGAGCCTCACTCGACGTGATTCCATTCACGGCAGTTTTGGTGATGGGCGGTCAGAATGCTCACTGGCGACTAAGCGAACTCAGCCCCAAGCCACCTAGGCGCACTGCCAAATACCAACACGCTCAGCTCGTCACATCTGCAAACCATCGTGAGTCGGCCAACAGACACCAACCACGAGCTTGGACGACCCGCTTGTCTCCGCCTCCCCGAACCGGCCATTGGGTCATTTCCCACTCCAGTCCTGATCCCAGCATGCGGCGCCCAGTCTTGCCAGTGTAATGGATGAACAGGGCAGAGCAAATCCAGTCATCGTGGCCGCCGCATCTCACCGCTCGCCCGTCTGTCTGGTTGCCTGCTTGACCGTCATCCCTGGGCAGCGCATGTAGGAAGTTTCGGGCATGAGGGCTTCAAGGCTCGGAGGCTGAGCGATCCAGGACCCTGGCGCACGCCGTCCAAACCATCCTTTTACCTTCTCCTTCTAGGCTTCAAGGGCCCCTTGGCTCTTAAGGCTACGTGGGGTCTCATCCCGTCATTGTGAGGTAGTCTTTATATAGCTTGACGCGGCACTCTACGGCTCGACCCAACGGCCAACTTCACAGCCACATCCCAACTCCGCTGTTTTCATCCCCGCTAGCGTCGTGCCGAGTACCGGTGCATAAGTTTGTCCATGCAAGACGTTTCTAGGACGGCCTGCGACTTATAACAGACTCGAAAGCCCCCAACCGGGCCACTCCTTGGGGCCAAATCTGCAAGCAGCCGCCAGAACGAACTGAGACACCCGAGGCCGGACCTTTGGACACTGAAGACGGAAGACTGAGACCCGCAACACAAACCAACATGGTTCTACACCGGCAACAGGCCCAGTTTGGGCGGGCAAAGTGGCGCATGTCCATCTTGCTGCCGTGCTGGGTCTTACAGATATCTCTACTGCTGGCGACCATTGGACTATTTTCGTGGAGACTGGCTCATTCTGTTCGAGAGTACGAGGAAGACAAGAGGAAGGGGGGAAACGTTCGAGCCACGGAGCTAGTGTGCGCCTCGACACCCAGCCGCTGCTCGCCGCGTATCTTGACTAACAAGGTGCAGATGGGAGATCACCAATCTCGGCCTGCCACTCATCATTCTCATTCTCACACTGATTGAGTTCGTCAAGCTCGGCGCTGAGACCCTTACACCATGGACTATGGTCGCGACCAATGTTGTCAAGACGGTTTGCGCCTGTGGCGGCATGTCCGTCGATGTGGTCATGTACAGCCAGAGGAAGGATCGCCACTACAGCTTGGTCGGCCTGGTCATGGACTCCATCCTGATGTAAGCAAACCCCTCTTCTGACCCTTGCATTTCTTGTCTAACAGCTCAGCGTCGCCATCCTGATACCGACGATCTACTCCATCATGACCTACCGTCGCCTGGCTTCCTTTGACGATTACCACTATCCCGTCAACATCAAGGCGTATGGCTACAACGACCAGGAGAACCAGCAGCGAACGGCTTCGAAGAGCGGTCGCCTGTCCATTGCTTCCCTGAGCGAGAGCTCCTTGCGCCGCTTCTCCGGCTCTTCATTTTACAACCCTGCTGCCGTGTACCAGAGCCAACCCGAAGCCCCGGCATCTCTGACTTCCATCGGTCGCGCCGGGTCTTCTTACAACAATGAGCGAGACACACAGTTCGAGCAATACATGATGGAGCGTGAGCGTCGCATGTCCGGCGAGCACAGTTACAGAAGGGCCGTTGATGCGGTGCCTTGGCCCCACCGCAGCGTCAGCAGTGCGACGACGAATACCGTCTCGAGCTCCAGCACCGGTGTCGTTGTTACTGGTGGGACGCTGGATAGCGCCCGGCCGCTGAGCGACTCGATAGGCCGCGCCCCGAGCTGGGGCAGCTCGCACGGGCTGGTGGCCGTGCCGGAGCTGGACGAATACGACGAGGAGGAGCACCACGCCCAGACGCAGCACGAGCATCATCGACGGCAGTCCCACCGCCAGAGCGGCGACAAGGTGGCGCTGCTGGGTCATCACAGGCAGCGTAGCAGCAGTGATCCGCAGTGGCCGCGGCAGCGCCCGCCCGTGCCGACGATTGAGTTTGAAGATCTGAGCTCTACGGAGAGGAGGTAGTTGGACCTAGGGGCTGTGGGGAGGCTTGCTGTTTTGGTTACATTGGTGATGGATATACCCCATTTCTTTCTCTCGTTGACATTACATTCATCCTTTTTCTTCATGACAGTCTTGACAAGATCATTTGGGTTTATTCTATGGACAGCGGTCTTGAGGTTATACTTGTTTATTTGGGTCGGCGTTGGGATCAATACACGGCATTGTTCTTGGCTTGATGGCGTTTGTTCTTGCTCATTTTGAATACACACAATTGTACATGAAGCATTTAGGTTCTACCTGGCGACAGACGATGACTGATCAAGTATTTCCCCAAGTGCTGCGCCTCGAACGGCGCCAACACGAAGACACGTGGGGAGATACGTGAGGCTGATGTACGTCGGTCGATGCTTTAAAGCGAAGGCAGCGTAGCTGTAGATCAGTCAAGATGGAGATGCGGTGTCAAGGTTCATTCCATGCAACCCAACATGCTGCAGCGCCTTCGAGCCTCACTGACGAAAGCGGGATCGTCATGGCGAAGCACCGATGGTGAATTTTCTGCAAGCTTGATTCGGTTCTTGGCTACTGTACGGCTGCATGTGCAGTTTTATTTTAGTCTGGCGGGTGTGGGCTCTTTTGTGCGATCTCTTCGTCGACTCGTTGGGCTTGGAGAATGGAGTGGTTGCTAGCATTGACGAATCGGAGAGATGACTGGTCACACTGTTCTAGTGGCAATTCTTTTACATGACAGTTCTTTCCAACGATAACTTGTTGAGAGGGCTTCACTAGTTATGTGAACCATGATTCAGTATTGTGGGTATTCCTGAGAGCTCTGGATAGGTAGGGTAAGTGACATAAGACTTGTGATGAAAGATTGATGCCATGTCTCCGAATCACTGCTACCCATGTGCATCAGATATACCCATCTGACTCAAAGATCATATAAGCCGTAGATTACGTGCTCCTGGAAGCAGTGAATACCAGCCCCGGTGATCACCCGATCAGTGAATCCCATACGGTGATCACTAACCCAGGCAATCCCCCAATATTGGCCCAATACAATTCTTTTCTCAATGACAACTCTCTTCCTCTCCCTGAACAATGTCATAGACACGAAAGGCCGAAGCCACTCATTTAAGCATAGATAGTTGCTCCACATCTCCTTGCAGCTTAACTTGCCTTCCATTCCACCGCCCGCTGCCTTCCCCGTACGACTCAGAAATCGTAATCTACTGCTTCTTGTGCTCCGGAAGCGTAGGCGTTCCGCATCGGGGATTCACTTGTGGAAGACAAAATTAGGGCTTCAAGCCTGAAGATCCAGAAAGAAACGGTTGAAGTATTTAGCCCGGTTGTCGGCTGGTGCTAGTTTCCGAGGCGCGGGATTCTGGGACGACGGGGATCGTTTCGTGCAGGCTGCTGGGATGCCACACGGACGCGGACGCCGTCGTTGACACGCCGTTTCGATCTGCCTCCATGTTCCACGAGATGAGAACCTCTCCGGTCTCCAGGTAGAACCAGAGCGCGTGGTAGCCTGTTCCAATGTGGAAGTTGCCCCACTGTCACCTGAAAGTGCGTAGGATTGCGCTGGGTCGATGCTGGCCGGCTTGCCGTCGATTGTGATCGTTCCCGTCGGATTCGCCTGCGAAGAGTTAAAAACCCCAATCTCGGGTGAGGTCTGGCGTTTGACGTACCCAGTACCAGGACCCGGGAAGGGCCATGGCATATGTGGGATTGGGGCAGAGCGTTCGAAGGCTCTGACTGACTTGGTTATTTTAGCTTATTTCATCGGTGAGTAAATCAGCCTTCATATGGTACTCGCACCGCAAAGGGAGCTGAAGAGCCGGCTTTAGCTCCTATGCAACCTTGTAGGATAGGAGAGGGCTGTAGACCGAATGTCGGGATCAGTATCTGAGACGGGCATTTGAACTCGGTATTCGGGATACTAGAACAATCCGTGGTCCCACTACCACTATGCATCGTCGTGGCAGAGTCGTGGACTCACACAGTCCACCAGCGAGTGGGTTACTTCACTGCTTCTGTAGAACGTAAAGCTTAATAAGGTACGGAGCGGCGATGGAGGCTTCGTCTTGATATCTTAATTGGACCTCGTACTTGAAGCTACGGAAAGAGATCGTTTGCGTTCTATCCGCCGTGTAGCTTTGACCTGTATTCTCCCTCAAATAACCGGCCATGAGCTTGAGGCACTGTTCTTGGACTGGCGCCGGATCTCGGTGACCGCAAATTCAAGAAGCAATTCAGTAGCGGCATGGTTTTGATGGATCTCCATGTCGCAGTTGACGCTGACTACTGCATGTCTGTTGTGACTCTATGTTTGAATAGCCCCTCTGGTAGCCATTGGGAGACGGAGCTGCACGCAACTACTCTCGGGGAGACAGCAATGCTCTTGTACTGCCCATTTGCCCTGGTATCTACAATTAGAAGGCTGTTAACAACACAATAACATGAAAACCTGGGATCGGGGTTGTCTTAAGCCACCGCCGGAGAGAAGAAGATCTTCCCAAGTTTGCGCACTCTGCAGGCTTTTTCTGCCACACAGTGACGTCTGGTTCGGGAGCTTTCAATTGTCACCATCCTCACCACAGTGTTGCGGAAACGCCTTGATCAAGATCTGCGATCCAAAGCTGCCGAAAGAATGACTTCGAAATAAATCCTAGCTATATCTCTTGTCGAAATACTTTCGAAAGCTCTACTTCATAACATCCCGGCAGCGTACATCGACCGCCTGTTGCCGCATCTTAGAGTATGGAAGACGCCATTCGGAATCGCGACGTCACTGACCGGGCACGTATACATCCAGGAGGATGAGTTTTGGTGCTGCCGGATATTCTTGGTCATGCTTGTTGCATGACCAAATAAGCTCCAGAGAAGCTTCGCCTCAACACACTGTACCTCAGCGCGTAACCAGCAAGCCATGTTGCCCTGCGCTGCCTAGAATAAACTCGAGGGCTTGCGAGCCAAGTCGTGGCGTCCAAAGACCGACTTTGATGCAGCAGAAAAGTCCTGGTGTCGTTCGCACCCTTGTCGCCTCGTTTTACACCTGCTGCCACTATCCAACCACTGGTGTACGCGCGCGCCAAGCAACTGACGGCAGGATTGGCATCAGCACTGGGAGCCGCCCAGCTTCTCAATCCTCCTCGCAGTGCGAGGCCCGCAGCGCTGTAACCGATCGCCACGCAGCTGGTAATCACTTGAGCTGTGGGCCAACTGGGCTGCGGCCCGGCCAACATGGAGGGCAAGTGAGCGCTTCCCAACAGTGTTAGTCGATAAAAAGCCTCGTGTGTCCATCATGCCGCAACAGGAGCAGCGCTCGCTCCCAGAGCCACTGTTTGTTCCCATTTGTACCGTCTCAGAAATCCCCCGCCATGTCGACCGCACCTCGCAGCCGTAACGACTTTGAAGTCGCCATTGTGTGCGCGCTGCCGCTCGAGTTCGACGCTGCCTCCATCCTCATCGACGAGTGCTGGGATGAAGATGGCGGCCGATATGGTCGGGCCCCTGGAGACCAGAACCATTATGTGACTGGGCGTGTGGGCAACACCAATGTTGTGTTCTTGCTGCAGCCAAGGATGGGTAAGGCCGTCGCGGCACGCGCCGCCGAGGGCCTTCGGTTCAGCTACCCGAGGCTTCGACTCGTGTTGCTCACGGGAATCTGCGGGGGGGCGCCAACATCGACCAACGGCGAGGAGGTTGTGTTGGGCGATGTGGTCATCAGTACGAATGTCATTCAGTATGACCTCGGGACCCAAAATCCGGATGGCTTTGCGACCAGAGACAAGTCCGAGGACGCCCTGATCCCACTCCCAACGGATCTTCAGAATATGGTCGATCACCTGGAGGCCAAAGGGCGCCCGCGGCTGCAGAATCGAGTCAAGACCGTTCTTCAAGAGTTGCAGAAGAAGGCGTTGGCCCAACGTCGGGATTCGAGCTACGACCACCCCGGAGCCCAGCGAGACCAGCTGTTCAGAGCCGACTACATCCATAAGCATCATCTTGGCTCTTCATGCATATGCGCCAACAATCAACGAGGCACGGATCCGATTTGCGCTGCTTCTCGTAAGCTGGCCTGTGGCTTGACTGGTTGTGACGAGCGATTCCTGGTCCAACGAAAGCGCGTGGTCGAAAAGTATCAACACGAAAGGGAAGGGCGCCAGTCGGAAGCACAAACGCCGCTCGTATTCATCGGACGCGTAGCTTCTGGCGACATGGTCGTCAGGAGCGGCGAGGCCCGTGATCGACTCGTCCAGCGTCATCAAGTTGTGGGTTTCGAGATGGAGGGTGCAGGCCTGTGGGGAAACCTGCCGTGCCTCGTTGTCAAGGGCGTGTGCGACTACGCCGACAGCCACAAGCAAAAGGGATGGCAAAACTTTGCCGCGGCTACGGCAGCATCGACAGCAAAGGCCCTCATTGAAGAGTATGTCGCTATGTCTATGTATGGTGTTGGACCAGGCACGAACAAGGAGGTCAACAAGAGCATGGCCCGCTATGCCATGATCAATAATGCTGGCGCGTTCCAGCGTAATGGCTCATCCCGATAAGAAGCTCGATCTATCGTCCGCATCACCCCTATCCGCGGCTACATATGTATGCAAATGAAACTGGTGTCTGTCTTTGTCAAGAGACAGTTACGAGGAGATACAGGAGGCCTAAGGGGGGGTGGTAAGAGTACCAGACCGCAAAGGCACATACACAGGGCTGCAGGGAGCCCCTTACCTGGGGAGGGTCAGAAGTCGGGTTTTTTCTGTATTCTATGTTTGGAGCACACTGCGGAAGAATCTTTTGTTCTATTTTCTACCTTTCCCCGACAACCGGTGCTGAGGTGGAGTTAGATCTTCGAAGGAAGGCAGAGCGTTACGTCTAGGCTCGCGGGTCTTTGTTTTTAAGTGACTTGATCTTTCATGATCATTTAAATCTTTCAAATAGTGAGAGATGGCCTATAACTTTGCAATTAACCCTTGAAGATGTTGGCCGCATGTTCGCACACTGGAAGTCACAACCTCATTTCTTCTTCGAATAGACACTCGCTCGCTCGTTGTAGAAGCCTTATATCAAAATAGTCCACATCGTACATAGATAAGTATGTTATACACGAGCAATGAAAGCCGAATTGTGAAGTGCTTCTGCGCCACTCAGTGCTCCATCCATGAGTTCTCTAGTCTCTTGCAGGTTGCACTCGATATTCGATGATGGATTAGGAACACCTGGGGTTCCTGGTTCTGTGGGATATCAACCGCTGGTAGGTGCAATTCGTGTTGGTAATTGTCCCCATCTGATATTTGGCTTGATATGACACGTAGACTGTCGTCGTACAGCCAGCAGGACTGGCAGCAGCCGGCCAAGCTTCACAGCATTAAGCGTTGTATGTCGAGTTGCCTGATGCATGAGATGGCGAAACTCTCGTTTCAATATAAACCCTTGAAGTAACCCCGTGTAGATGGCATCCATGGGCGAAACTGCCGTGAACCTGGGTCGCATCGGTGTTCATGTCGGGGTTGAACAGATCAGGGTTTCCGCATTCGGTCCAAGCCACGAGGTAGACAGACGTGTTTTGCTCTGACCCTTCTGGTCCTCACCTCGCCTGCTCAATGGTTTCTCAGCATGGAATGCTCCCCGCGAGCCCCACCGCCACAGACGACAGCGGCAGGTCGACGTCCCTATACCTCTCCTCCTCGCCACCCCTCTCGACGTCCCCATCGCAAAAGCCGTGGATGTACCCCTCCAAAACAGCCGGCTCTCCCTCACCCGCCTCTTTCCTCAAGATGACGGGCGCACTCAGCTCGCTCACGGACCAGATCTCATCCTCGGCGCCTACACAGCCCGGCACAAGCGCCAGCATGCCGCGATTCCTCGTCAGGGCAACCCTGTGCGCCGTCTTGTCGCCGACGAATGTCTCGAGGAACTCGGGCGGCACGGCCGTGGCGCTGGCAGCGACGGGGGGACTCGTGCCGGCGACGGCGTCAGCGAGGAGGTTGCGGTCGTCGAGGGTCCAGAACTGGCGGAAGGAGGCGGCGTCGTCCTCGGCGTTGACGGCGTGCTCAAACTCGACGAGGCCGGTCAGGCCGTTGAGGACGGGCGAGAGGAGGCGGGCGAAGGCGTGGGTGACCTCTTCGCGGGAGAAGCCGTGCGGGTAGGCGGGGGTGCGGACGTGGGAGAGGCGGTCGCTGGAGAGGGTGCGCATGAGGGTTGCGAGGCGGTCTTGCTGGGTTGGGGACGGGGTGCGGACGTTGTAGGCGAGAGTCAGGAGGGTGATGAGGTGGTGGATGTCTGTGGATGAGGAGACGGGTTCGGAGACGGAGGCGATTGTGTCGATGTAGGTGCCTTGTAATGTTTGCTCGAGGGGTTGCTCATGGTCTGAGGTTATACGGGTCTTCGTAGTCGGTGTGCTGGTGGTAGTGGTGGTATCAAACTTTGAGGGCGCGATTGGATTTGTGACGATGCATGCACCAGCGTGGCCCTCCTTCGCCATCATATTGGAGAGCTGCATGGTGGTGTGGTGTTTGTGGTGGTTGGGCGTGATGTGCTTGCTACCTTGACATTGGGTGATGTTGGGTGAAGAAGATTGAGAGCCAGAGTGGAAACGAATCGATAAAGTGTCCAAGGTCTGGCGAAGGCTTGTACTTGGAGGCCGCGGACGAGAGGGATTGCCGCAAGCCCGACGTCTTGTTCCTATTGGGACAATGCAGATCAAAGTTGGTCAGGAACCTCAAGGAACCGATGACAAGGTGGGAGAGCCATGGCGGGTCCACGATGTCATGTTCGTGACGGGGGGGGGGGGGGGCGGCGTGGAGGGCGTGCCGCGGCGACACGGGCCCGGGGTCACTAGCTGACAGGGACAGACCATCGTGACGTGTTGCCGCGGGTGGTACTGTAGACGTGCCGCAGCCGGTGACAGCTTGACATTGCCTCTTCCGCGATAAGGCTAGTTTCAGGTGTCGAGAGGGAGCGTCCGATCAACCTGTCTCGCGTGTTGTCTCGTCTGGTGGTGTACTGTGTTTGACTGGACAGGTTGACCTCGGTGAGCAGCATTTGATAGTATCTGATGGAATGATCGACTGCGTGGGGGATGATTGAAGTGGATGGTATGATGATCCGAGGGGGAGGGGGGGGGTCACGGAGGAGTAGCACCAGCACAAGCACGAGCACCAGCACTAGAAGCGGTGCGCGGGGGTGGATGTTGGAGGTGGAGGCGGAGGGAAAGAGAGACTAGGGAAGGCAAGGTAGGGACCATGGACCATGACCATGACGTAGTAGGCCCCCCACCCGCGCACTGGACTCATCCGCAACCGAGAGCCACTACAGCGACCCGCCCCCCCTAACACCCCCAAAGCCGGACCCCTATCCGTCAGCTGTCAAGACTCCTGCCGATGGCATCCCGGCCGGCCCTTCCTGATGCGATGAACCAAGGCAGCAAAGGGAAAGGACACACCAGTGGGCATGGGCAGGTGCTCCCAGCACCGTGGTACCTTCCCTACCTCAGGCTCTCGCAGCGACCCCTCACGCATCCCCTTATTCCCCTGCTGTACACTTCTGTCCCCTTCTTCCCCTTTCGTGCATCCCTTTCTTGGCATCTCGTCCTTGGCACACCCTCGATCGTCTTGTCCACATCACGCCCATACCATCGTGACATCCTCTTCGGTCCGGTCAGTGCCAAGGCATTCTCAGGCACATCATTCGCGGCACTGCCTCTCTGCTGTCTGCCGACGCCTCACTCATCTGTCTCGCACCAGCTGACCTGGCGCCATCCGGACCCCCGCAGCAGAACTGGTCTTTCGTCCACACTGTTCCAGGTGATGAACAAGGTTAGTGGGGTGTCTTGAGATTGCCTCGTCGACCCGAGACATCCGTCTTGCGTTTAACTTGGCGTTCGCCTTTGCTGGCCTCGCTGTTGCATGCTGCCAGTCGTGCTCGAGGACAGTCTACGGCACATCGAGGACAGTCTATGGTAAGTCGCTCGCTCGGTGGGGGGCCACGGCGGCTTCTGCGCTGTCGCCGGTGACGCATACAGCCGTGCCGCAGTGGGCTGCATATGTGCGATTCTAGTTCGCCGAGCTTCTTTTGACTTCTTACTGCCTGTGCTGGGCCGATGCTGGTAAGGTGCTCGAATGAGGGCCTCATATCATGTGAACGGAATCAATTCTCGGTTTGACTGAAACGGTCATACCAAGCAGCGTCGTCTACATTGATGACCATGTCATCCACCAACGCCAATCCAGGATATTCTCAAGCCAGCATCACACTGCCCCACACGAGCGCCGTCCTCAAGCGCATCGCACGTGCGTCATACACTTACGACGTCTCAACTTTACCCGTCTCACTCGCCGACATAACAATTGGCCAAAACCCATCATGAGCAACTCTGAAGACACACCGCAGTTTGAAATATTCCGGGATTGTCTATCAGCCGCAATTGTCGAGCATATGACCAAGTCGTCAACCAAAGCCAAGCGCCGCACGAAGAAAACCCGCCACGTTACCTCACAAGCGGCACCAACCAGCAACAGCCAGACTCCAAACGACGCCGAAGACATAGCCGACTTTACTGATTACATCGCAACGCAAACTTTTGAAAGCGTTCCCGCCGACCTGCAGTCGCTTACACATGCCACATGGACTGCCGATCCTGACCTCCAGACACGTTATGCCCTGCCCTTGACCGGCGCCGACGTGTCCGCTATCCTTCCAACACTCGACCCCGATGTGGCAGACTCGCTTACGATTTACGGCATCATCGATGGTCTTTCCCGTGGCGTCCCTGAGCTGCTGGCCCCGGTTCTGACTGAGTACATCACCGCGCTCACCGCCCCGCCGCCACCACCACGTGCAACTCGCAACCAGGCTGACGGATGCGAACTGTGTGGTCGCGATTGGATCCCCCTGACATATCACCATCTCATTCCGCGCTTCGTGCACGAAAAGGTTGTTCGGAGGGGCTGGCACCCGCCCGAAGATCTCGACAATGTAGCATGGCTCTGTCGACTGTGCCACTCGTTTGTGCATCGCTTTGCTGGACACGAGGAGCTGGCTAGGCATTATTACACCGTTGAGTTGCTGCTTGCCGAGGAGGATGTCGCCAAGTTTGCAAAGTATGCCAGCCGCGTGCGATGGAAGGGGCGGTGACAAACTTCTCGTTGCGTCTTGCGTGGTAGCCATTGAACCGCAGCTTCTACCTGGCTGACACCACCATCCAGATCTCGTCGTGAGCGTCCGTCGTCGTTTCGGTCAAAGCGTCATGCGTCGCATCATTGCAGAGTTGTCGAGATGGTGGAAAGTGCGTACAACGGCTGGGGCGCCTGAAGGAACTCACGATGAGATGAATACGTCTCGTCTCGACCTGAGAGCGTGTGAAATTGGTATGATGAAATGTTGTGGAGATTGCCTATCATGGAAAGGCCATGCAGAGCATGATTCAATCTTGCGATACTATTTTCATCAATTTCCGATTAGTCTAGTGGTTAGGATATCGGCTTGTCACGCCGGGGACCGGGGTTCAATTCCCCGATCGGAAGAACTTTTGCTGATTCGGGTGCAGTCGAATTTAGCTTTTGCTCACCTCGGCCAGTCACATGCGTCCGCTGAGAATGGGTAACTTGACTGATCAACGTTTGACTATATTTCAGCCTTTATTAGGACCTCTGAGTGAGTAGGGCTGGACTGAGACGCCGAAAGCCAACTGCAACAAAGAGTCATCACATGATACATGCATATCTCTCTCGGACGTCTAGCTAGGTGTTGAATCCCGGTCTATACTTTCTGGGTTGCCTATTTACCCAACGTGGGGATCAGGCCCAGGGCTGCAATACCGTGTAAATGCACAGCCGTATTCCGATGTCTACCAGGCCACCTCGCACACGGCATCCTCCCTCCTCGCAAACAATGACGACGCTCGAATCGTCGGGTCCTCAACTTGTAAGCTTCCATCCAGGCCCCTCTCGCCCCGGTCTCGACCGAGCCCTCCCCACCAGCCCTCGCAAAATCTGCCTCGCCTCGGCACACGAGTGAAGACCCCCACCACCGAGCCGCTGCTTCAACAAATCGGGCGATTGGTTTAGTGGTATAACGTCTGCTTAGCATCTGACGGTCTTGGGATCGTTCACGATACTGTCTGCTGAAGGTCGCGCGTTCGATTCGCGCATTGTCCATCTTTTGCTTTTGCCGAGGATCATGGTGTCCTGTCATGTTGAGTAGAATGATGGCTATCACATGACGACCCGTGTAGCTTTTGCCCGGCTTTTTCTGAGTTCAAGATTTGGAGGCGTAGTTGCGGTGATGGAGGGATGCGTGAGGGGAGCTTCCGTTCTTGGGAGGAGGCAACGTGTTCTCATGGGAGGGCAGTGTATAGCAGCAAGTACTGGTTAGTGAGTGAGCCAGCACTGTAGGTGACCGGTTCTTGCGATCTTTTGTTTTAATCCGTCGGTTGGTCTTGTGGATGGCTCGATAGGCATGCGAGCACACGAGGAGCGTTGCCGCCCCTGCAATAGCACGATAAGGAAAAAGGCGTTGGGCAAGCGGCAAGCGGCAAGCGGCAAGCGGCAAGCGGAGCAAAGCGTACTGATCTCGCAGACTCCAAATAACGAGGCTAGTTGCTCGCCTCTTGAACGGCTCATCATCAGACAGTCAACAACGAAAAGTCCCTCGCCTCAAGCCTGATCGACGGCATGACCCCCGTGGCAGGCGCGCAGTTGATATACTCAAACCGGGCGTCCCCCTCGTGAAGCACAGAGACCTCATGCCAGGTCCGCAAGCGCCTCCGGTCGCCAAACGCCTTGTAATGCGACAGCGCCCCGCGATAGATGGCAAGATGGGAGGGGTGCGTCTTGGCCCACTGTTCCAGCCTGTCGAGATTGCTGAAGAAGGCCGCGCCGCAGGACTCCTTGCGCGGTCGGCCGGACGCCGTCGCTTCGCCCTCGTTGCGGAGGTAGCGGACGCTCATGGCCTCCGTCTCGTGCGGGTGCTCCATGAGATAGCGCAGTCCTGAGTGCAGCGTCGGCTCGAGCTTCCGCTCATACGCGTCCGCCTCTTGCTGGCCGCAGGGTTCCCAGAATTGGCCGGACCGGATGTGGACGAGATTCCGAGGGTTCGTGCCCACCAGGTGCTGGCCGCGTCCCTGGACGGCACTGTCGGGCGGGAGACTTTCGAGGTCCGTGGGCTTCGGGAAGAGATCGTGGGCCGAGTCCGGGATGCGATCCCGCGCGGCGCCCCAGTACGCTGAGCGATCGTGCTCCGGCGTCGTCGTCCCTGGAAGTCGTGCGAGGCCTGGCAGGTAGTCGAGGCCGGAGTAGTTTGGTCTCCAGCCTCGGGGAGAGCGGGTGGGCGAAACACTTCGCGCCAGAGACCGACGGATTCGCGATCGCGCTTCCCCAGCCGCGAGAACAAGGCCGGCAGGGCGAGCTGCGTCAGCGCGGCGTCGTACATGTCTGCATCTTGCCAGTAGCACACCCAGACGGACGTGTCTGTCGCTTCGGCGCCGTCAATCATGGTGAATGCCTCGAAGGCAGCCGGTCCATGGTCAGCCTCGAGCCAGGCGCGAATGGCCGAGGCGATCTGGGCGTCGGCCCGCAGACACGTCTCGTCCGCCGCGTGGCGCTGGACGCCAATGTACGCGGTGAAGACGTGTGTGACCCCCGGAGCGAGCGCCAAGTGCCATCGCGGAATAGGGAGACGGTGGTTCTTGGGTTTGCGCAGCGGATACGTGCGGCCTGGACAAGGCATGGTGTGAGGGTGATTGTCGAGGAGCCGCGGACGTGAGGGGAAGCTAGCTAATGTGCCCCTCGTCGTGCCACTCCGATTCTCCAACATCCATCTGTACAGTCCTCCGTTTGACTATGCCACATTGGTTTCGCGTTCCGTTGCTTTCTAGTGAGCAAGCTCTTTGAGGATCATGCCTTTCTTCAGGAAAGCTTCGACGGCCTCAAAAATCGAGCTTGCCAGAGATTATTTCATCGCACATGTTCATAGCGTTGAAATGTCGTCTCATTGTCCGGCGAACAGGCACGAACCCCTAACTATCCACAGCGAACTGGAAGTATGAGATCACGCTGCCAGAATCTTATAGGTCCAAAATCACATAGTGTCAAAATGACGAGTTGTCGGCTCATAAGGGTGTGTTGAGTGAATGTTCTGTTGGTCCGTTCATTGCTGTCATGTCTACATCTAATCTAATCTCGAAAGTCAAATCTAACGCGCTCCTAAATCAACGCAGATCCATCGGTAGTGACTGTTCACAGACGGCCGTCAGCCACCGTCCCCCATGCCAGGCATCTCACGAAGACATGGTGCGCAGACTGTCTTCCCCGAGCATGTCGTAGCGACCCTCTTCAACAAGTCTCTGCGTGGTGATGCGCTGGGGGTAGTTCCTGATGAACATGTCGGTAAAGTGCTTGCCGTAGTGGATGCCCTCCCTCGGCTCCTGGCCGACATCGTAGCCCTCGAGGGGCTTGATCACGGCCTGGAAGCTGGGCTCGTGGAAGTAGGCAAAGGCGAACCTCTCCTTGATGTTGAGGCCGACCTTGTGAGGCGTGGAAGGCAGGACGGAGTTTGTGAGAAACTGCATCATGTCGCCTGTAGGTACGATCGCAGGTTAGTCTTGTTGCCAAGCCCCTTCGGAAAACCAATCACTTGCCTGGGAACACGGTAAAGACGTTCTCTGCAGGGGGCACAAACACCCAGCCCTCGTCGTCTTCCTTGAAGCCGGCAGCGCTCCTCTCCCAGTTGGCAAAGTTCTCGTCCTTCTCGGGGGGCCGAACAAACAGGGCTAAACGGTGTAAGTCACTTGCAAGGGATTTCGACAGGCTGTTCTGGTCACTTACCACCGACGTCGTCAGCTGCCGCGAGAACGAGCAGTCCGTAATCGGTATGAGAGCCGATGCCACGGCCATCCTTGCCTTTGCCATTCGTAGCATGCGTTGCGGGGAATCTACTCATCCAACGTCAGAAATCAGACAGAGAAGCTTGGGAAAGCATTCAGGGGTAAACCTACCGCAGCACACGCAGGTGATGCCAACCATCGCGCGTCAGGCCCGTCAGAGACCCCTCAGGCAGATCAAGACCGAGCTCCGTCAGCTTGAGGATCATCTCGCCGCTCTCGCCCAAGCTGTCCATGTACCGCTGGATGGGCTCCTGCATCTCGACATCCGGCCACGGGCAGCGTCCGTGGCAGGGCCACTTTGCGCGCACCCTGGGCTCGTCGAGCGGGAGGTCCTTCGTGACGGTGAAGATCTCGCTGTAGTCGGCAATGCCGTCCGTGAGCTCCTCGCCGCTGGCAATGTAGCCGGCATAGCTCTGGCTGTCGACGCAGGCCGCCTTCTGGGCGTGGGACTTGCTGAAGAAGCGCTTGCTGGCCGCGTTGGCGGCCTTGTACGTGGCCTGTTGGTTCGGCTTCATGGCGATCTGGAGGATGCCGTCCTTCTGCCACGCGGCGACGATGGCCTTGCCGAGCTTCACGTCACTGGCGCTTGACGTAAAGGTTTCGGGCAAGACAAAGGTCTGGAGTTGGCCGATCGCAGCCTTGTAGCCAGGAGGAACGCCTGAGGGATCCCCCGAGACGGCCTTGTTGACGGCCTTGGTAGGGACGAGCCTCTGAGAGCTGGCGACGGTCATTTTTGTGTGTTGAGAAAAGGGTGAATGTTGTGGTGAATAGAGGATATGTGTTGATTCAAGATTGAAGTGATAGGCAGGCCTCTGAAGTAGTGTAGAAGGGTTGATGATCCTTTCTCTTCTTTTGGGTCCTGATGCCTCTCTTATATAGTATCGCGATGCCTTCCCTGTACACCATCATCCAGACTCGGAGTCTTGGAACCCTCCGTGGACGTCCATGGCCAGAGCCCCCCTCCTCTCATGTTAGAGTTCCTACATGATGAATTCAGCCACTTTGCGGAACAATCACGGAATGTTGGAAACTGCACGTCAAGGATCTGCGGCGACCTTCTCTACACCATCAACAAGGGCTCGCGGCGAGCCGTCTCATGGAGGATAGGGAGACGCCTTGGCGTACGAGTCAGACAGCCTTGTCCAATGGGGATGCCGCCAGCCCTAAATGAAAGCTTAAAGTAGAGAGATCTAGACTGACAGCAACGACACACCGCTCACGGAAACAATTTGCTGCCGCCGGGATATGCAGTACAAACGAGTCGGAAAAACCCAGGACAAAGCAGACACTACTGCCACGGCAGCCTTCGGCGTCCGTTGACGCGGGCCGCCCGGAGGCCGCCCCGAATAGCCCTGCCGAATCCTAGTAAACTTAATGTGAACTCCGGTCTGGAACCCTTAATGTGCGGGCTTCCCTTGTTATAGGCAGACGTTAAATATAGATCCACAGCCTCTCGGAGCCCGTGTGACTAAGGTGGTGCGAGTCGAACCGAAACTAGTATGATCACGACCCTCGGTCCGTGTGCGTAGTTGCCTTCGAAAGCGGGTGGTGCCGCGCGGGGTTTGTCATTGACGTCAAACATATGCTCAGATGATAAAAGATCGTGCCATATGTTGACGAAGCAAGGTGACATTGCCTCGAGCCGGACGAGCAGGAAACCTTCTGAGTCGGTTACACCTCGGTTTCGCAACTTAAGTAAGCCAGAATCCTCCTCTGACGTATTCAGTCGACGGAACACGCGGGAGGACGGCGTATAATGGCCAATGGAGCCCCTGAACACTTTCCGCAGCTGTGAAAGGCCTTGCAAGTGGGATGGGCTGACAGGTTAACTCTATAGGTAGTATCACAGTGGCCCGGTGTATCTGCACTCAGTCCCCATGTCTCCATGGAGCAACTCGATTGTCTTTTGGATCGCCGATGCGCCAAGGTCATACGAGCAGGCCGGAGAGGTCGCCGAGTTGAATGTTGCGCACACTGTCCAGCATCCCGAGGTACGAGGCCGAAATAGAGTTTTGGATTAAGCTTTTTCTCTGTCGGCCCCTGACAAGGCTCCGAATGCGAGTTTCTTGAAGAGGGAAAGAAATCCGGCCAGGTGGTGGGAACTGACTCTCTGTGCAGTCGTTCTTCGAGTCTCAGCCCTCGCCGTTGAATCGATTAGATTACGGATCGCACTCTAATTGATGAGCCAAGGAGCTGGATCTTCTGAAGGTGACAGAAAACTCCGAATGTAATCACGGAGTATTCCCATCTTGTCTCTGTGCATTGCCAACTCGATTCGTGAACCTGAGGTCTCGATATTGTTTCCGTCGGCTTCGTGACTCGAATACCGATCCAGAGGTCTAGAAACAGAACCCTGCACTGTCTCAGATGGCGAAAAGTGAGCATCTCGGGAGTTGGGACCATCGGACCCCTGTCCCCTCAGCCCCAACCAGATTGTCGTGCGACTCGCGCTTCGAAAAGGGGCTTAGTAGTCGGTCGCTCCGAAGCTCTCGAGCTGATAATGTGCGCGGGCGCGGGGCGGATGCTCCCGTGTCTGGTAGTGACTCCTACCCTTCCACCGGACACTGAATAATTTCAAATACACTTGGTCTGAAGAACGTGCTCAGTTGAGACAAACTCGGCGTTGACCGACGTACGCTGACAGCCGAACCATTGACCATATACCAACCGAGGATGATGGCCGAAAGAGAGAGTTCGTGCCAGGTGTCTGTTTGCAGCGCGTCTTGCAGATCTCATGGTATCTTAAGCTTGTTCTCTGCTGCGTGCCAAATGTGTATGATGATGCTGTGGCCGCCCATAAAGTCAGCCAATCACGCAATGAGCACATCGGCCAACGCCAGACCGGTCAACGGCGCCCGCATCTTCTCCCTTGACATCGCCCATGTAAACCTTGACTTCGCGCCCTGCACAGGAAATCGACCCGTCACCGTCACCAGCCGAGCCAGACCTTCCGCCATGTCTGATGCCCATGGCCATACAGCGAGTCCATCGCCGCTGGTCCGCTTCGGTTTCGCAAACTCAGTCGCAAGACATTCCTACACCACTCATCGCATCCGCTGTCATCGATCTGCCTGACAGCAGACGCAATTATCGCCCCGACAACAACGCCTTCCACCCTCCCTTCTCCAGCAACCATAACGCCTCAGTTGCATACGCCCGGCTCCCCCGGTGCCCACCTTCCTTCATTGCCGCCTCGGCCAGGCTGTCCATCAGTCGGCCCTCCATAACACTGCTCCATATTCCCCTCGCCAACGTGTCCTCGTCGCTATTTCCCCACTCGCCTTTGCCCAGCCGGTAGAATATCCTGCCAATGGTCTGAAACGCAATGCACCGCTGCGCGGCGACGGCACTCCGCGCCAGTATGGAGAGCTCCTCGATTGTGTACCCCGCGGCCTCGGGCGCCTGGCCGTGGTGATGAAGGCCTTTGGAAACAGGAATCTGCCTGCTCAGTCGCGGCGGCAGCATGGCTCCGCGAAAGTCAAAGCGAAGCGCCGAGATGGGCAGCGAGGCCTGGCCCGGGTAGTAAGGGGAGTCGCGGTCGGCGGGGCTGTCTGTCGTCGGCAGAGGGGCCATCCAGGCAAGCTTGGAGGGGTCGGCGGGGAGGTTGGGGAAGAACTTTTCGTGGAGCGTGGCGAGGAAGTCTGGGTGGGAGGGATCGAGATCGGGCAGGGCAGGCGGCTGGGGGAAGTGCGTGTGTTCTGGTTGCTGGTTGATCGGGAAGAGGTCCTCGGGAGGGGCGGATGGAACGCGGTCTTCGTTTATGGGTGCGTGTTGCTGCTGCTGCGTGGGCGCTGGTGGTGATGATGATGTCGCCTTGGTGGTGGGGGTTGACGGCTTAGGTGGTGGTGGTGGCAGTGTCGTGTCTTCGATTTTGATTTCTGGCGCCGCAGGTTTGGGAGAGGCCTCCTGTGTACCAGGCACATCGAACGGGTCGGGACCATCGCGCTCATCAATGTTCGCCCGCTGCAAGAGTCTCTCAATCAGTGCCGGGTTGAGTCCTTTGAGCATCTCGGCTCGCTCGCTGGCAATCTCTGCAGGCGTCATGTTCTCGAGCCTGGCCTGGTTCTCTCGATCGATCCGCCGCCGCTCGGCCGCCTCAAAGTCCGCCTTTTGCGTAGCCGGATCGACTTCGAACCTGGCTTCGTGTGCAGCCCGGGCCTGAGCGCCGGCAACCGCAGGGGCATCGTCTCCCTTCTTGCCCTGTCGCTGCTGTTTGAAGGCAGATGGGCGGCTTCGCTTTTTGTGGACTGGAAAGCCGGTGGAGGAGATGTCGGCATCGTCGAAAGTCACCGGCTTGAGTTGTGCCGTTTTGCGCTCGACGATGTCGCCGATGAGGAGTGTTGGATCCATGACGTGTGGTGAGGATGAAGTTGTCGAGAGGAGCTTGCTGGAGAATGTGGGAGGAAGCCAAAGCTTTGTCACAATGGCGATGGTGGGGTAAGGTACATAGGTACCTAGGTACCTAAGTAGCTAGCGAGACTGGTCGGGAGGCATGTGTTCGGTGTGGTGCCAGCAAGGTCTCACGTTTCGAGCTCAGGGTTCGACCAGAGAAAGATTCGCGCTCGGTTTACTGGCTACTGAAGGTTCCGTTTTTTCTTTCTTTTATTTGCTTTTCAAAATGCAGTCTTGTAACCTTCGGATCCCGTTCTTGCAAAGTGTCTCAGCATCGGAAAAGAAATGATCACTCAAAAACGAGGGCTGTGCTGACTCAGCCCCCGCCAGCCAGTCAGTTGGGATTGGTGTGGCTGGTGCTGCCGAACAGCGCGTCGAGGCGAGACAGGCACGCCCGGCACGGGCAAGCGATACGGACTGTAACAGACGCTTGCATTAGCGCCGATCTGTATCCCCGTTCCAGCTGTCGTGTTATCTCCGATCGAGGTAGTCATCTTGGTGTGTACAATTGTCTGGGAGCCTCCGTCGATACTATGTTTCCGGCCATGATACTATCTGAGCGGTGATAATTTTCTACTTTCAACTTTCGGCGTTCTCCATTTTTCTTCCAATCGCCACAGCCGAGTCCTTTCTACGATGGATGGCCGGCGAATGCCGCTGTCGTCACAGGTATGTCTTTATGCTCTTTGTCGCAGAAGCCCGCAGACAAAAACAAGTGTTTCAAACGTAGGTCCACTCGGCATTTGAACTACTGGCTTAGAAATTGAGAGTTGCGTCGCTTGTGGCTGCCCGGATGAGCAGATATGATGAGGTGCAGATGTGCTTCTGGGGTCCTTCGCTGCAGGGTTCCGAATGTGCACTGTCCATGCCTCACCACCTGCTCGTGGTCCAAAAGAAGAACAGCAGGAGTTTCGCTCAAGAAGAGCAAGCGTCAGGAAAACGGCCATCTCAGAAGCCACATGCAAAGACATTACCAAAGAAATAGAATCGAGTCATATTCCCAAAAATCAATGGCCCAAAGCCAGCAGTGACAACCCCGCGGTTGTACCCCCCTGCACGGCAGCGATTTGTGCATTGTCTCCAAACAAGCTGGATCCATGCAAACAGCGCGCTTAGCCGGACCCTTGACTCGTCACGCTAGTCCTGATAGGGATAAGATCCGGGCAGTTCCCCAGGACTAGGCGCGCGATGCATGTACCCTGGTACTTCCGCAGCACAGACCAACCTTGTTTTCCTTTCCCTTCCACGGGGCCTTGTTCTCTCCCTCTCCCCCAGCACTGCACCACAAGCGACGGCGCACCCGCAATCGGCGCCACGTCGCCCGCTAGAACATGTGTCTGTCCCCCAAGACCCAGACAGCCGCGCCAGGTACCTTGTAGCCTGTACCACCGGCTCGTTACTTCACCCTTTCACCCGCATCCACGTCCATACCACCCACACCCACACCCACACCGCACCACGCGGTCGGCTTGATCGTGTCGACAAGCATTTAGCGGGCCACCTGATCTTGCTC